CTGGTCTGGGATGGGTAGGAGGTCCTGTGGAATTCAAATAAACCTCAATAGTGTCCCAATTAGTTTTCACTGTCCCTGTGTGAAGGCACATCTGAATGTTCTGGCACTCATCCATATACCTCTGAGTCACTTTATTTTCTTTTTGAATCATGAATTCCATAATACTCTTCTTCTAGCACAACGATCATTGGAGATTTACTCCCTTTATAATAAATTGTTTAGGTAGAGGTAGGGCATAAACAACGATGCACTTAAACAGTCCTACAAAACACTCAAAGAAATAGAACAATAAAAATGGGAGACAGGAGACTTTAGTGTGGAGATAAAACAGAGAGGAAAATAGAATCTCACTCCAGAGCATAGTTAAGAGATGAAAATCCTGGTGAAAGAGAAGAGGGGGAAAGAAAGGGAAAAATAATGGAAGGAGAAATCTACAAGAGGAAGAAAAAAAGATAACAATAGCTAGTTGGAATGAAAGCAATTGCAAAATAGAAAGAGCCAAACAAATATAAGGAATAATCTTAGCAAGAAAGCCAGCCTAACTGCCTAGCACAACAGAACAGTATGTCCTTTCCCAAACAACTGCTTAAATACTAAAAAAAATAGCAGTGGAAAATAAGAGCGGATGCATAAAAAAAGGCAATACAAATAACAGACATTGATTGAGTACTGCTTCCTTCTATGTATTACAGTAGTTGAATGTCTTCAACAAGTGATCAGCCTGTTTCCATAGGGTACATCTGGAGCAAACCTGTCCTAGGCTAGGGACAGAAGTTACACATAAACTGGTTTAAGTGATCAGAAACTGGTTTAAACCTGTAACAGAATAGAAGTTCAGTGCACATAGACCAGTTTCAAAATGGCTGAAACAGGTTTAAGATTAACCTGGTTGAATGTAGTATCAGACTTAACTGATTTAGGTCAAACTGGTTTATGAAACTTCTGTCCCAGATCCCTTCCTAGTTCAAGTTAAAACAGAATACCCCAGCATCCCAACATTTTGCAGCTGGACTGTCTGCTCCAGAGAGCTGGGATAGCCCTGCCCCCTAGCTGAAGCAATGAAGGCTGGCTCACTGCTCCCCAGCAAACCCTGCCCGGGCGGTGGGCGCAGGGAGAAGGGTTAAACTTCCCTTCCTCTCAGTACAGACCTGCCCTGCTAAACTTACCGCTGGCTGCAACTGTAGACTGCAAATCCCAAAGGCACCTGGAAGCAGGAAGAGAACTTTATGAGCAACCCTGCAGAATCCTGCTGCTGTGATTGTGGACTACAAATCCTAGAGACCTCAGGGGTATTAGGAAAAAGAAGTGAACACACAGCCTATGCTGGCTATATCCCAGACAGCCTTGCTCTAGTGCCTGCTGGTTTGAGCCATTGCAGGCATGTGGCTGCATTTCCTGAATCAAAAGTGAACATCTGTTCAGTTGCTTATTGGTTTGATCTTTGCACTTTAGATTAACCTGCAAAGACTGAATCAATTCAGCCTTAGGCTTTTTGACTATCTGTACTTAGCCCTAGGGTTCAAACTTGTTCAGATATAGTATTTTGGCTTAGGCCCTTAGTACCCAGAGAGTGCAGCATCAAGCCTACAATAAAGCAGTAGATCAGTACAGCAAAAGCTCTGTTATCCAGCATCCCCTGGGAATGGGGGATGCCAGTTAATCAAATATGCTGGTTAATCAAATGTGCACCGTCTGGTGCACTCCCTGGCATCAGTGCGCCGGGGGACAGGGAGAGGGGCCCCACGCAGGCTGCTTTGCTCTGGGTCATGGGCCAAAGAAGTAAAGCAGAAGAACTTGGCCCACAGAGCCACATCACTTGGATGGTGGTTAGTGGAGCTTTCCAGTTGATAAAGTGCTGGATAACACAGTTTTTGCTGTACTATCAGCCACAGCATAGCATTGGTTGGGATGATCTAGTTGGGGAGGGTCCTGCTTTGAGCAGGCAGGTGGACTAGATGACCTCCTGAGGTGCCTTCCAACTCTAGTTTTCTATGATTCTATGACATACACTGTACCATTCACTATGTAGCTCTGCTAGTGCATCATAGTTCTACTCTTCCAGTCCTGAGTTTCTTTTTAGGTGACTGCATCAATTATGCTGAGGGCATTTAATAAAGTGAAAATATGTTCTTTGTGAAGTATCATAAGTCAAAGACACTTATTTCATTTGCAGCAAAGTTACATTTAAATGTATTCTAGGTTTCTGGCTGTGAAGGTAGTAATAGTTTGACTCATAGGAGTTGCTGTGAATTTTAGAGTTGGCATGGTGTAGTAACAATGATATGGTCACTACACAGCATCATTCAACATCAGTCAAGCCATTGTTTTTCTTATTTCAGTGACAAACTCATAGAGTAAGGGCCTGGTGAGGATCTAGGGGGTGGAGCTGTGAGGTTACACCTCCCCTCCCTTTGGCTGGGCTCTGCATACACAGTGAGCTCAGAGCTCACTGCCTGTTCAGCGTGGACTGGAGCACTGCTTGAGCTCACAGCTGAAGGGCATAAGCTCTGGCCCCTAGCACTTTACTTTATTCCTTGATCTGCAGGTCAGGGTCAGATATTCTGTATCTGCTGTGCACAAAACATCCAACTAAAGTTAATCAGAATGTTGGAGTGCAGACTTGGGATTTAATTGAATCATTATATATAAGGGATCAGGGCATTTCTTCTGAGAACACACTTGAAATAATTTTAGAATTATTTATACTATTAAAATCTGATTCACTTCAGGTTTTTTTTTCTTGTAATGCTTGTTTATTTTCAGTGTTTATTCTAATGAATGAAACAGGTTATTTCTAACGTATATTAGAAAATAGTCAGAGAAATCTAATTCTTAACCCACAAATTGATTAATTTATTAGATTTATATTCCACCCTGTCCAAAGGACTCAGAGCAGCTTACAGTAACCAAACAACCCACAGGCAAAATTCCCCACATAACACCGCAAAGGACTCCAACTTCCTCTGTCCCCCAACCATACCTCCCTGTCCAGATTGCCACAAAAACAAACTCTTCCACAAATCTCAGCCATACCTCTCAACAGCCATTTGCATCTAATTCACACTCAGTTACAATAAAACCTACAATCCCCACCCACTGATTCCCATTGCCCTACCTCAAGCCCAAACCCAAAGTATTTTCCCATAATGCAAGTAATATCACTGAACACTAACATACTATTCTATCTAGGTATACTAGAAATCAACCAAAACTGCTCCAATTCTGAAACTTTATCTCTGAATCCTTGCAAGAAACATTCATGGTCAATTAACTTTTCACTACTGAATAATCACAAAGACTTAGAAAAATGTCAAACGATAAAGAGTAGTCCCTCTCAATGTTCAAAATTTAATGAGACTCATGTGTTGAATCTAAATGTGCTTTTTTTTCTCTCTCCATTTTTATGATCTAACATTTCTGATTTAATAGCAGAAGTGGATCTGACCAGAACTAGGATCTAGTATGGCTGTATACCTCCTCCTGTGCCTCCAAAATTTTGGAACTGCTTGGCTTTGAGCCTGTGTCTCCAGTTACTTTAATTAAAAGTGTGATATGTAGGCTGAGGTGAATATGGAGCTAAAATAAGAAGCAATTAAAAATCTATTGCCCCACCCTCGGTGTCACTCTTTTCATTCATTTTATATCCTCTTCTGTGCTCCAGTGGGTTTAATCTTCATGCAACACATACAATGCAAGCAGAAATATTTGAGTGAACGCTTGCCAATGGCTCAGAGCAAGAAAGAAGCATGTTTCAGATTACACTGTATTCTGTTGTTCTGATCTGATCTCCTTTGTAGGAGAGGCTGAGAGTCAGCCCCAGGGGATTTAGTGCTAGCAGCAGCAGCACATGATCTATCAATCGCGTGATTCCCACCACTGAGGACTAATGGGAAGGATTGAGAAAAGGTAAATTTGTCTTACAGTAGCAAGACAGATTTCTTCTGCTTCTGGTCTTCTGTCACCAGCCAGACACTCATGGCTTCTCCAAGGCTAGAAACCTACTGCTGCCCTAACCGGGATGCAGCCACAGAGCTGATTCTGACTTTCCAGCCTGAAGTATTCTGTGGTGTTTGCATTGGCAGTGCCTCAGTTAGTCTACTCCTTAGTATCCTGCAGCTCCTCCCCAAACAGGGACAGAGCCCCCGGAAAATGCCCAAAGCTTCCTCTTCCTCTACCATCCTTCTCCTCATCTCTGCTTGTGACATCTTCGGTGGGCTAGGTAAGGACAAGCCTGCTGTCCCTTGACATGGGCTAATCTGGGCTCCCTTCCCTTTGACAAAGTGGGTTCAAAATCAGCCTGTTGTCAGTTTTTGGGTGGACGTGTGTTATATTTTGTATGATTAAGATTAAAGGGTGAAGGTTTTGGGTGAAATTTTGGGTTTAACAGCTTGAGTTTAAAATCAGCTGCGGTTCAAACAATCTATCCTTAAAGCTATCCACACAAGATGCAATAAAAGTTGTTTTTTCAAGGACAGCAGATACAAAACTTAATTGATCTTAAAGTGTAATTTTTAAAAATAATTATCTGACCTTTAATCCTTAGTAACAAAGTTTTTATTATTTTTTAAAATGTCAGCTATGCCTCTGAGCAAACCATACTAGCAGCAAACCAGAGATTGTGCTATAGACAGACTTTTAAAACCTATTAAAACTTGGGTCATGAAGGACACTATGCTGCATGCCCACAGGGCAATGGGCTGGAAGGATAAGGCAATATGCATGTATACCCATGAATCAGATCTACAGAAAAATGCCTAATTCTAATCAAACAATCTCCCTGCCAAACAAAGCATGAATGACCACTAATTATGCCGTGTTCAGAGTGAAACCTCTTCATTCAGGTTTTCCTGCAACAGTTGTTAACCCTCATATATCATCATTATTATTATTAGCCTTTGTGAACAGCCTAGATGCATTATTCTTCCTGCCTTATATATGCTCAGATGATATGGTAAGGCTAAATAAGTAAAAAACAGTTTCCAGATCTTCTCTCAACCAATCATTTTTTAAAATCTGATGTCAGCAAGTTGTGCAAATAGTTTTCTTTCCATCTCCCTCCTTTTTGAAGGAAAAAAAAAAAGATCAGTAAGCCATAGAACCATTTGCCCTGTATCTTTCTTGTCTGAGACTCATTTTTATCTGTCTTGAGTGCCATTCTTGTGGGCCATGTATGGTGCTATCACATTATTACAAATAAGTAAAAAATGTTCACTGATGAAAATGGTATTTTTAAAGCCATATTAAGTGGAAAAATATTGCCATCTTCCTGTTTTCGTTCATTGACAACAAATGAAAGAAAATGCTCTGTAAATGAAAAAAAGATGTTAAAAGTTAACTAAGCCTTAAGTATATGAAAGTGTTTTTGCATACAGTATGCTCTTGTAGGCTGTCAAAGTTGTTACTGAACAGAAGCGTTGTTAATAGAAAAAAATTGTATATCTCAACAATTTTCATATTTAGTTTCAACTTTGACATAATCTAGTGACTGTAGTTAAAGTTTAAATAACTGAACTGTTTTCCATTCAACCAGTTCATGGTTCTTGTTTCGTTAACGCATGAAACGTAGGTTATAATTTGAGAAATGGGACTGGGAGAAAGCACGTTAACTCAAAACATGTTTAAAAAAAAAAAGAGTCATAGCATTAAGTGTTTTTTCTTTTCCTCCATTAGGTATTATCTTCAGATCAACAATATGGTTAAGCTTCCCAGACTTCATAGCAAACATCTCTGTGATGAATGGAACTGATGTGTGGCCTACTGCTTTCTGTGTGGGGAGTGCGGTGGGTACAAACAGTTTTTTTTCTTTTCTTTTCTGTTTTGCAAATTACATTAATTTGGTGAAGGGAGCTTGAAGGACAAACTACCCTTATTCTAAAGCAAAATGAATTTCCTTTTACATGTGTATAAGCACACTGGATTTCTGCCTCTTCCAAAAGTTACAAGTATTATCATGCCTAACTGTGCAGCAAAAACTTGAAGTGGGAGGAGAGCCAGCTGTTTCCTGAAAGGTGAGGACAAAATTATCAAACGGGTTGCTTAGTTAATGGCTAAATCTATATGCTTTCAGAGGAATAATTTTTATAACTTTAAACTCCATTAAACTTAGGTGTACAGTATCTGAGTGCAGAATGTGGCTCCCGGTTTGTCAGGCACTGAGGCAATCATGGATCTAAACTGAGTGATGTATCTTGTAACTGGGTATTGTACACTAAAAATCTGACTGGAAATCATGGATGAAGAATGTAACCCCTATTTCTAAGCATCAAATATGGTTGACTTGGAAACCCCCCTGCTAAAAACTGAAGCATTCAACACTGTAGGGATTTCAGATCCTTAGAAACTTCAAAGCGTATTCCTACACTGCAGTTAAGGGTGTGACTCTAGCTGGTATAGATGTAAGCTAGTTTGAATCCCTTTGCTCAGGATCCTAGTAGAGTATCATAGCTATCGCAGGAAGGAGTTCAGTACAAGCTAACTTCTGTAGTATTACTGAACTTACCGGGCAAGGTTTGCAGTCCATACTGAGCTCCATGTTGCATGGTTATACTGTAATCAACACACAAGATGACTAGGTTAAAGCTATCCTGGGTATGTCAATACATGTTTCAGTCACACATTGACTGATACACAAGTGGCAACATTGTTTGTAATGGTTTATTAAAGCCATATTCATCCATACTTTATTTGAACATGCATACATATGGATATAGGTTTATGTGGAAACTGTGTATAGATGCTGTATTTAACAAGTATTAATTTAAGTTCACAGCTTCTACAGTAAAATGGAGCCTGACAAATAGGATCAAACAAAGATTTACGAAAGGGCATTAGGCGTGTTGGTATTTGAGGAATTCAGGATTGAGCAATAGCAGTTTAGAATTACAATCTCATTATTGTTAAAGTATTTTTGCACATATAAGCACAACTATCATTAGATTTCAAAATGCTCTGTGTGTGCAGGTTTGTGTGTAAAAATGATATAATATTGTGCATAGAGATGCAAGGGACCAATTCCAATTGCTGACAATGTCAATGTCAAAACATTCCAAAGAGAGAATAATTATCTATACTACTTTTTCTGTATCTCTTCTCTATTTTCTATCATACACTTTGAGCTTTTCATAGTACTAGTTAAAAACAAAAGGAATATTTATTGTTAATTGTTCAGTAGATACAAGCTTGTATCAGAGCCCAAGTTTAATCTTTTTTTTTTTAAAGATAACCTACCAGGATCAAAATCTTGAACAGTGAGGGGTTATTCTGAGTACCGGTTTCCATTTAATTTCACTTTGGTTATTTATTATAAAAAGAACAGTTATATAAAATAACTGTTTTATCATTTATATAGCCTGTTTACTTTTGGTATTGATCTTGAATGATGAAATGTGCCTTGTGCATCATAACTGTTAATAGCAAGTTTCATTTTCTGTCTCTTGAGCAATGATGCAGTGTTTGGGTCCACTACAGTTCAAGGAAATATTTCAATTGATGAAAGCAATAAACAAACAAACAAATAAATAATTCTTCTCTACCATGTTCTCATTCAAATGTAAATCTTAAATCCATTTCCTTCCTCCCCTTTAAAAAAAAAAAAGCCAATAGATATTTGGTTTTAACCAGATCAGCTGTCCTTCATCCTTCCCCTTTGGCAAATAACTTTCCTACTAGCAGGAGTGGCTCAGGGGATTCCCACTGTAATGGCTGCTGTGGTGACAGTTCTACTTTGTATCTTGTGGAGGTTATCCAGGGGATGTGTGGAAAGAACCCATTCCTGGCAGACATCTGCTACCTGATGATTTTTGAGCCCTCGTAGATTCACTCCAGGTGGCCAGCTGGAACTGGAGAAACCAATACCTTTGTTAAACATATCCAAAAATTCTTTTTGTTAATATTATTGTTGAAATGTACATTTTAGAATAAAAACAGGGCATGTCTACACATGCATGTAGGCAGACCTAAATTTAATGTACATCAGTTTAATGCGCATTAAGATGATTTAGGCTCACATCTACATGTGTACACATTAAAACACATTAACGCTATCTGTGCAGACTCATGTGGGACTAAAGTTAGTTCCAAGTCAGTCCTTGCACAGCATTAATGTGCCTTAACACATCTGCATGTGCATAAATGTGCTATAGGTATTTGCGCCTAAATTTGATACCTGCTTTTGCCATTTTTAAGGAACATTAAGGACATACACATGTAGAAGTGTGCCCTTAATGCACCTTAAATCGAGCTAAAGTGCCTTAAATCAGCACATGTAGATGCACCCACAGATGTAAAACCAAGCAGAAGTTACCCAGACAATGTTATGAGTAAGCTGCATTCCAGTGATGAGTGCCTTGAAACCACAGATTCATTCATGGGCCTAAGATCTACCCCCATAGAAAAAGGCAGCACTTCTTCACAGACTGGTTTATCTTTTGGATGAGGGAATGTGAGGGCTTTATTCACTGATGTTTGACATAGAAACAACCATGTTGGCCGCTGTATGGTGAAGGAATGCTGCTGTGGACTGATGACAAAGGGTACTCAGATGAGAATGGAGCTGACATGAAAAAGGGACTCAAAGGGCTAAGGGGAAAGTTAAATTGAAGAGTAAAATTGTTTCAGGCTAATGAAAAAGTATTCTGCAAAAGAACCAGCTCCTGTGGGCAAGAATTTTGGAATTTGTAAACACAGACAGGAAAGGTCAGTTATCTAATGTACACTCGTGGGAAAAATGTGAGTTATCAGCTGTCAAATGTAGTGGAATTTAACTTGTTTTAAATTTATTCACAACACTTTTTGGTTTTACTGAAGGAATTTATCAGAAAGTTAAAATGTACACAATTTTCTATTATCCTGTTTGTTTTCTCTTGGGAGCAGTTTCTTGAATATACATAGCAATTTCCTTTTATGGTAAGTCAATCTCCAAAATATGAAGACACAGTATATCCATAAGAGTTAAGACACACAACTTATCCTCTCATATCCCAAGGACTAAATTGCAAATATTGCGATTTTGAACATTCTCAAGATAAATTTCTATGAATTTGTAGCTAAGTTTTAATTTTGGATACACATGGAAAAACTCAGTGTGAAGAGTAGGTAGGCTTAATGTCTCTTACATGCAGTAGGGCAAACTCAGTCAGTCAGTCCTGAGGCTGCACTGACTTGCTTATCAAAATAAACCTGTTCATTTCAATGGGCTTATTCCTGTAATTATGAACAAAATTTGTTGCAATCTCTCCTCTGCATGACAGACAGACTGGCATGCACACACACACAGAACCTATCAAATATATTCAAATAACTCGCATGTAAATTAGAAGTAACTGATGGTTTGAATTTTTTTCATGATCACCTAGAAGTTTTGTCAGAAGCTGTGACTCCTGGAATACTTTTCTTCTGCAGATGTGGATCCAGCTCTTATACTGTGCTGGCTTCTGGTGGCTGTTTTGCTATGCTGTAGATTCCTATTTGGTGGTTAGAAGATCAGCAGGGCTCAGGTAAATAATTAATAAACTAGGCCTTTATTTCCAACATTACCTGCACATGCTTGTGTGCACATGTATATGCACATAAATGAAGCAACATTTTTTGTGCGCCAGGTAATCAGGTAGTGGTTTGCATGAATGACGTGCTAGAGGCTTAAATGGCCCTAAGTATGCTCAAATATAGCTTTTTCCTATCCTCCTAGCAATAATGGCTTTTTTTCTTAAAAAAAGAGAAAGGAAAAGGTGATGGCATGTGCCTGGAATTCTTTCTTGAAGTTGTGTGAGGTTTTTCTATTTTATCTACATTGCAGACTGTTATGAATATCATGTTGATGTCTTAAAAATCAAATCGACTCAAATTAGAAAGAAAACCAAACTATATCCATCTGTAGTACCATTACTGGAATAGTTATGCACTTTGAAACTGGTCATGCTGTGATGCTACAGACAAAGTATAAAGATTGTCCAAGTTGGCTGCCACTTGGTTGGAGTCAAAGAACAAAAGACCTTAAATGTTCCTGTTCTAAATGTGATATTATATTATATGTTTTATATATTATGCATAGACAATACAGGGTGCACAGATATCGGTGTTATGGCTCATTTGGCAGTTCTCCAAAATAAGGGAAATTCTTACATTTAAAGTACATTTAATTCAGCCTGAACATGACAAACTTAACTTTCACTTTATGTGAAACTTTGACATTCAGGAATTATAAAACTGCCAAACAGTGACAAGCTATGCTACTCAATTTCTAGTGTATATTATGAAAATTCTTCACATATTTTAACCTAATTATTTCCATCAGAGGCTACTTAAATTCCCAGTGCCTGACAAGGCTATGCTTTGTAATAACATTCACATTATTTACTGTGGGCTGTGATCCAAGTGCTTCGGAGAGGGAGAGGGAGAGGATACACAGTTCTAGCCTAAGGCATTATGAACTAAATCTTGCTCCTAGCAAAGTCAGTGGAAAAAAACTCGTAGGGCACCATCACTGAAGTCAATAGAAAGACTCACACTGACGTTAAAAGGGTTTTGGATTGAGCCCTCATTTACTTAGAGGAGATTGGAATCTGATCATAATAGTTAATTTATGATTTGTTAACCACAACCAGGCTGAAGTTTACTGATTAAAATGTTTGGGGCTCTTTGCCCCCTTTTTCTATGTTGCTTTTCCTGCCTAACACTTTTTTTCCTTGGGTGTGTCTACCTGTGCAATTAATGCAACTGAATAAACCCTGGCTAATTTTGAGCTGGAATAAACTAATCCCAACGTCACCATCTACACATGTGTTTTAAGCACAGTAGCTTACTGCGTTGCCGGATACCACTTGTATCTGACGGGACTATCTGGCAGTGCAGTAAATTAGTCTATTGCACCCTAATTGTCATGTCCATGTCAATGGTGATGCTTTACTGCACAGCATATTGGTCTGCTATGCAGTAAAGTGTCTTGTGTAGATGTGCCCACTGTGTCACAAAAAGGGAGGGACTGAGAGGGTATCTGGAGGGCAGGAGAGAGTTAACATCTATATCAACAGGAAGGGATAGTCCCCCTGTCTAAACCTGAACCAATGTTTTAACATAGCCAAACTCTTATTTTTTCCTTCTTGTTTTTCCTTTCCTTAGTTACTGTATGGCTGATGTTATATAGCACTATTTTAACTATATACATATAAAATTCTTTTTTGAGCTTGCCTGTATGAAACTTTAAAGTACTCCAAATGCGTGTGATGCAGTGTCATTAGCAGCTTCTTTCTATTTAATGTGCTTCCAGTACAATTGTGTTGTATCACATGATGGCCTGGGGCCTGGCAGTCCTGCTGTGTGTGGAGGGAATTGCAATGCTTTACTATCCTTCAGTTGCTAGGTAAGCAGGATTTTAACATAATCATCTCTGTGATTGCTTGAATGTATCTCTGTCAGCCTTGGCAGTCAGTGGCCAGATTTTGCTCTCAATTACTGACCTATAAACCCAAATTACTCAATTGCATTCAGTTTAGTTACTTTGGTTACTAAGAATAGTTACTTTGAAACTGAGCGAAATTCAGCCTTGAATAAATGAAAAATGGCACATCTGTCCATCAACTCCCCTCCACCACCTTCTTCTCTTCCTACTCTTTGCTCTGTTGTCTGGTATCACATTTAAACCCTACACTGCAAACAAGCTATCTCCTTCTTGTGTGACCTCACTGTCCTTTAAATTCCTTCTCAAAACTCAGTCTCTCATCAGTCACTTGTCCTAGTTCAGCCTCATTTATTCCTGCTGTGCGCCAAAAGAAACAATTTGGGGATCACAAAGATGCTCTTAACTTGTTGTGCGTTGTTTGGTTGACTAATGAATGGCATAACTTTTTTGAACTTTGGTAAACATAAATTAAACAGTTTATTGACATGGCTCATGGTGTCATTATCACTCTACAGATAACTGCCTGAGAGTTTTCTAGGTCTTCAGGAAACAGGCCATGTGAAATAAATGCTTGCTTTTGCTGTAGCACTGTGACATGGCCACATTGATAAGACTCCCTTAAGGGAGGGATGTGATCATACTGGGAAAAGACTGTTACTCAGCTATCATACTTCTCCTCTCCCCCAGCCCTTTTTTGGACTCATTTTTTAATTCCATTCAAGGGAGCGGGACTTCCCTGCTGTGATAGAAGCCGGACTCGAGGGGATTGCCTTCAGACCTCAGGTTGGGGAGGACCGGGTTAGAGAGCTTCTGGAGGGGCTGGACGCGTTCAAGTCAGCGGGTCCGGATGATCTCCACCCCAGGGTGTTGAGGGAGCTAGCTGGGGTTATTGCAGGGCCCCTGGCACGGCTCTATGAGCGATCGTGGTGCTTGGGCCAGGTGCCAGATGATTGGAAGGTAGCAAATGTGGTCCCCATCTTCAAGAAGGGGAAGAGGGAGGACCCGGGTAACTATAGGCCCGTCAGTCTTACCTCAATCCTGGGGAAACTCTTTGAGAAGATCATCAAGGAGCACATTTGTGATGGGCCGGCATCAGAAATGATGCTCAGGGGCAATCAGCATGGATTTATTAGGGGGAGATCATGTCAGACCAACCTGATTGCCTTCTACGATCAGGTCACAAAGGCCATGGATGCAGGTGTCGCGGTGGATGTAGTCTTTCTGGACTTCAGCAAGGCCTTTGACACCGTCTCTCACCCCATCCTAGTTAAAAAACTAGGTGACTGTGGCATCGATGCCTACACAGTCAGATGGATTGCAGATTGGCTGAGGGGTCGCACTCAGAGGGTGGTGGTGGATGGGTCATATTCGACCTGGGGGGAGGTGGGTAGCGGAGTCCCCCAGGGCTCGGTCCTGGGGCCTGCGCTGTTCAATTTCTTCATCAGCGATCTGGATGATGGGGTGGAAAGTAACCTGTTTAAATTCGCTGATGACACCAAAATCTGGGGGGAGGTGAGCACGCTAGCAGGGAGGGAGAGATTGCAGAGGGATCTGGATAGGTTACAGGGGTGGGCTAACAGGAACAGGATGCGTTTTAACACGGACAAGTGCAGGGTGCTGCACTTGGGCAGTAGGAACCAGCAGCACACTTATACAATGGGGAACTCCTTACTCGAGAGCACGGAGGCAGAAAGGGATCTTGGAGTCATTATTGACTCCAAGATGAACATGGGCCGACAATGCGAGGTCATGGTTGGCAGGGCTAACCGGACCTTGTCGTGCATCCACAGGTGCATCTCGAGTAGAGCCAAGGAGGTGATCCTCCCCCTCTACGCGACGCTGGTCAGGCCACAGCTGGAGTATTGTGTCCAGTTCTGTGCGCCCCATTTCAAGAGGGATGTGGACAATATGGAGAGGGTCCAGAGGAGGGCCACCCGCATGATCCGGGGACAACAGGGCAGACCCTACAGTGAGAGACTGCGGGACCTGAACCTATTCAGCCTCCACAAGAGAAGGCTAAGGGGGGACCTGGTGACTGTCTATAGACTCACTAGGGGGGACCAGAAGGGTTTGGGGGAGACGCTGTTTCCCCTAGCGCCCGCTGGCATAACAAGGAGTAATGGGCACAAGCTGATGGAGAGGAGGTATAGATTGGACATCCGCAAAAACTACTTCACGGTTAGGGCGGCTAGGAGCTGGAACCAACTTCCAAGGGAAGTGGTGCTGGCCCCTACCCTGGGGGTCTTTAAGAAGAGGCTGGATGCCTACCTGGCTGGACTCGTTTGAGTCCCGTTTCTCTTTTTGGGGGTTTTTGTTGTTCTCCCACCCTGGCAGGGGGTCGGGCTAGAAGATCTACTAGGTCCCTTCCGACCCTTAATCTATGAATCTATGACTGAAATGGAATTCTGGATGATAAGGGAGAAATACAAAAATCTAGACTTCACTTGAATAATCTAGTTTTGTGACTCACTTAAGCTGGGTAGGGTTAATGCATCAAACATTTTTGAAGCTCCTTATTTTGTTCAACATTTTTACCTATTAATGAAAGAGGTAGAAAGGCCAGACTATAGGATGTGAATAAGAATTAAGCTTTTCCTCGTCTCTTCTCAGTTGTGAAAATGGCCTCGAGCATGCGATTCCTCATTATATCACTACCTATACTCCACTTCTGCTAGTTTTGGTTGCCAATCCAATCCTATTTAGAAGGACAGTAACAGCAGGTAAGTTCCTAAATGCCCTCATAAGTTAGTGTAAATGATTAATTTATATATATTGGCTGACTTTTGCATTATTTTACACCCCCCCGGGCCGTAATGTTCACAGGAACTACTTATGTAGGGATACAGCTAGTTAGGAGAAAACAATATACAGTGTTAGAATTTTTATTAGAATAGTTTTATACCAAAAACAAAGCTCTAGCTACAATCAAAATTTGCCCCAGTTACAGGCTGGATATTGACATAATTGTGCTAGTACAAAATCCTGCTAGGCAAAGATACATTATTCCTTGAAACTGAGGTAAGCTGCACTGGGGTGCATATCACACCTTATAGCATTTTAAAATATCTGTACTATGTTGTTTGAACTGGTACAATTCAAGTTGTCCACATACCTATAAACAAGGCCTAAATCTCTGAGATGCGATAATAACATACCACTTCCTTTTCCCTGAAGCCATCTTGTAGATGCCAAATATAATTAATATTTGGTTACTGCTGACTTTTACATTAGGAGCAAAGGACTGAAATTAGGCTTTGACAAAACTTCTGGGCCTGATGGTCTCACACAACTTATTTTTACAAATACTGCAGAGATAAGCCTGAAATCCAAACAATTCCAAACGTCATATTACACCTACTGAAATGGTAGGTGGATTATCTAATATAAGCCTACAACATTTGTGTTAACATTTACGTACATTAAACTGTGTAGCAAACTCCTAAAACACTCACTCTTATTTTGAAAACAATCCTCATCTTATCAGAACCCTTACATCCCTCAATTGTCCCCACTTCCAAGGATGAGGTTAGGAAAACAGGTAAGCTGTATTTAATTCTATTGCTATTATTCACATTGTAGTATCCCCTGGAGCTCAAATTTTGCCCCACAGGCCAGATTAGTGGTGCCTAATGCCTCTACAGGTCAAATCTGGTCGGGGGGCCTGATCTAGCTCTTTAGGGGCAAGGGGGCATGGCCAGCCATGGGGGGGTAGAAGGGGGGAAGAGGGTGTAGCCTGGCCCCTGTCCAGCTGTGGGGGTGGGACAGAAGCAGGGCATGGCCCAGTCCTGGTCTAGCTGTATGGGGAAGAGGGTGTGGTCTGCCTCCAATCCAGCCTGGTGGGTGGAGGGGGCATGGTCTGGTCAAGAATCCCTTCCATTAACACAAGGAGAGAGTTGTCAGCAAACACACATTAGAAGATCACAGGGTTCCTGTACAAGGAGAAGTGGTCTGGAGACAAGGCAGGGGGTTCTACTGGACACTTAGTAGATAAACAATATTGGACTTTATAGGTCAAAACAATTTCTTTAACCTTCAACCATGACTCTGCTGGGAGTCTGCACAGATCACAAATGTAACTCAATGTCTACATGAAACACTACTTCAGTGGTGGCCAAACTTTTTTGGCAGGTGTGCCATAAATTAAGTCCCCTACCATCCTTGGGTGCCACTTCAGTCCCCTGCCCAATCTGATGCTCTGCTTTCTGCTTAATCTGCTTTTGCGCTCCCCACTCAGCCACATCCTAACCATGGAGGTTGTCTGTGCCGGTTGTGCCACACGTTCTGTGGGTTGGCTACTCCTGCACTACTTGACAGGTTGGTAACTAAGTTCTGCACCAGCTGCTATTCTATTTCTGCACATTTCAAAGGCATAGCCTTGTCTACAGTACACTGAAATAACCTGCATTAGAGATGGCAACAGGTGGATAGTTAGCAAATAAGGGGACACAAACTGTGGTACAGATGAGAATGTTTGCTACTTGGACAATGCTTCAAGACGATGCAGCACATTATCCATTACTAATAAGGAAGACCACTCTAATGTTGTCTTCATACCTTAGTGCTATAGGTGTATGGTCCCCACATAATTATCTTTAATAAATGAGGGCTTCTGCAGGCAGCATTTGGGTTTCCTTGTTCCAAAATGAACAAGTGTTGATTACTAGAACAGCCATATACTTTTATTATATTTCCTATTTTAGATTACTCAAAAGAAAGAAACAACAAAGGACAAAATTGAGGTGTCTATGAGAGAACACACAGTATTTGTGTCCTTATGACAGTCTGTCCTTACAACCTAGCTGTCTGCCTTTGCAGGCACCAGAATCCTTAGAGATTTAAAAGTGAAGTGCTCAGATAGTAAAAAATAACAATTGCATAATGACATACCTGATATAAACACTAAATCAGATTTTTAAAAGACTAAAACCGGTATGGTGACTTCAACTTTCTTTTTCCTCCCAAAATAGAAAAATAGAAGAGCCAATGGGAATGTCTCATGAGATCACCCACTTTTGTTTGCTAGTATCGATGTTGCTGTTTTCTTTAGTAACTAAATAGATGCAGAAGATTATTTCAAGAGGTTTTCTCCATCTTCTTAAATACTCTCATTCTATCAGGAACTAAGTTACAGCCCTTCCCCCTGCTCATCACCAAACACACACATTCTGGATCCTATATCTGTAAACAAAAACCACAGCCATGTATTCACATACATAACTCTGTGCTTTCCAGTTGCCTCTCTACTGAAAGGAAGACAAGGAATCTATACAGGAAATGAAAGACGCCTGGGGATGGAGATTCAGATCCGCTTTTTCAAAATTATGCTGGTGTTCATTATTTGGTAAGAGGCATATTGTTTCAAGCCAAATATCTTCTAAATTATAGAAGATGTAATTTATCCACTGAGGCAGAAAGGTATCTGTCATATTTGTGACATAAAATATTTACTCTATGTTGGAAAAAAAATCGAGCGACATGGAAATGGTAAATCCACAGAAAAATGATAAAAAGATGGGCAAGCACAGGTTATGGATGATGGTTTCTAGGGCAATGGCTAGAAAATACAGGGATTGCAATGGTTACTTTCAATAAGCATAATTTTAATATGTTCTGGCTGTGAGTTTCTAACCACTTTATCTCTGTACAGTATCATCTGCCCGTCAGGCCACGTCTAAATAGTAAATTTATCTTTCTTAGCCTTGGTGCTCTATACAGCTGGCCTTTTGAATCAGAAGCAGTGGAGCTAGAGCTGTAAGATGCTTCAAACTGGCTAATTACCACTTCTGAATGAGTGCCAGTTAGTCTATTCCAGGGGTTTTCAACTTTTCTTAACACATGTACTCCTTCTGGTGGTGGCAGCCAGGGTAGGGGGAGAGGTTTGCACACAGTGGCCAGTGCTGCTGGTACCACCCACTACTCTGTGGCACCGCCACCTACTACCCCATGCCACCGCTGCCGCCGTACCCTGCTTTCCTGTGGCTGGCTGCACATGCAGCTGCGCAGGCTGGTGATGAGCCTTGTGCCTGGTCAATCTTGCACAGCCCATCAGCAGTCTGCAGAGCTGCACATGGAACTGGCAACAGGAAAGCAGAGTGCGGCGGCTGCCGTGTGCAACATGCCCCTGTTGGGCCGGATGGTGCCTGTGTGGCCTGCAGAGGGGTGCTGCTGCCCTCCCCCCTCTTCTCCCCCACTGGCCCTGCTCCCTCCTGGGAGCAGGCGCAGAAACACACTCCCCATCCCCCTCCAGCCATAGAGATGCTCTGCTCTGCTCAGCGCTGCTGCTACGAGAGCAGCAATGCTCCTCCTCTTCCCCCTGGTAAGAGGCAAAAAGTGGGAACATGGAAGAAGAGATGCTGCTGCCACACCCTGGGGTGTGCTCCATCCCCAACTGCCCTCATGCCACCTGATCTGTCTAAGTATCTCTAGGGGTGCACATATCCCCAGTTGACAATCCCTGGTCTATACTAATTCGGTTGTCTACAGTTCTTTACAAACATACTAACCAGTGTGTTACCTTAATAGACATGGACTCATTCTTCCGTGAGTCACAGATTTGCCCAGTATCTTTTACCTAATCTTATGTAATATCTTGTATTAAAGCAGTGCCTCATCCAGGACAAAATATTCTGTTGAAAACTAAAGGCACAGCCCAAGGTGAAGCTGTATGAACACCTCAACATCTAATTGACAACATGCTAGATCTTGACCCAGAAGCAGTGTACCCATTCACATCACATGGTATAGCTCTGAAGCTGGAAGCCCAGTTACAGTGCTGAATTAACACCATTATATTGCTTCTGGTTTTAGCACTAGCACAGAGGGTATCTCTGCATGATGCCCCTTCCCTGATAACGACAGAGCTTAGAGGTATTGAATACACAGGTAGACTGCTGAACATAAATAGAAAGTCCATGTGGAGGAAGAAACGATTGCTTATTATTTGCATTACATTCATGCCTGGAGATACTGGATAGGACTAGGCCCTGATTGTGCAAGCCACCATACAGATTCCTAGCAAAAGACAGTCTCTGCCCTGAAGAACCTATCTAAACACTACAATAATGAAGAATATGTTCCATACTGTTGCTCATGGCTATCCTCTAGCCCCAAACCACCAATAACATCTTAGCCTACCCATAAAAGCTTTGCTGAGCAGCAAGACCAGAGCCTGAGTCTGCTGCTAGCCCACCCCTCCCTACACAGTGTTCAGAACTTCCCCAGAAGCTGTAGGGTTCAAATACAGGAAACTGGCTAGCAACAATCCTGTAAGTCCCTGCTCCTGACTTGCAGCCTTTCTGCACTCTTCTTCCTGTCTCTGTTATCTGTAACTAGAGCCAAACACAGGAAAGACAAGCAGTGAGCACACCAATACCTAGAAGGCCTCTGTTTCTTGTTCCCTTTTTTGCACACCACTGGGAAGGTAATATAGACAGGGAGGGATAACTCATATGTTTCAAGTTAGTTGAGGGAAACCTTCAAAGCTACCCCTAAATAGCGATGTAGATATATTGACATTGTCACAAAATGAGGAAGTGGGTTGTATCAGGTCCTACATGGGATCATTTTATTAAAGCAGGCAGTTGGGGGAATACTAAAAGAGAGGAAATATACTGGAGGACAGAGAGGAGGATGAAACCATGAGGATTTTTCAGTGGGAAAATTTAATTACAAGAAGAAAATAGCCAATCTGTTCCAAAAAAAGTATGATACAGGAATCCAGTTGAGTATGAATATACAAGAGAAATTCAAAGAAAATATGAACTAGAAGACAGTTCACTAGGACCAAAATGTGGGCTTTCTGAGCATAAACTCTTACCAATGCTGGAGAAGTGTTCATTCCTTTACCTTGATGATGCTTATTATACCCAGATATTGCTTTTATTCCTTGTTGGTGCATTCAGGCATTTTCAGTCAGCTGCAATCCTGTTTCAGTGTCACTTTGAAAGTCCATTTTAGTATTGCTGCTTTGTTTTTTGGTAGGGGTAGAGGGGTGATGCTCAGCAATGTTATATTCATTTAGTTTCTTTATCTTTGCAGCTGTATTTAGGTGATAGGATTTAATTTTGATCACTTATGCTGGTTCCTTTGACTCAGTGTGGTTTAAAGAATGGTCTTTGTCTTTTAGTCATATTCTCTCAGACCTGCTACAAGATTTAGCATTAAAAACCCCAACCTTATCTGTCTCCCTGCCAACTATCACCACAATTATGCTTTTAAAAAGAAACAGTCATGAATTTTAGAAAAAGCCTGTCTTGTCCTGTTTTTCCCTGAACAGCTGGTCATCAAATATCATCAATGAGATCCTTTTGTTCTACCTTGAAATGCAGCCAGATATCAATGGAAGTCACTTGAAAAATGTTAGAAATGCTGCACTGATCACATGGATTATAATGGTAGGTCAACTATGATTTATATTAATTTTTATAGGATAGGAAGGTGCACTAATATAATGTTTTATGGCTTTGGAAATAAAATTCCCCCCCCTAATCATACAAACAGAGAGAAACAGAGAGCAAGAGAGTACATTTTCAAAATCAGAGGAACTGTTTTTTATATGAAACTTTGTGTGCCAAAAAACAATGTTTGCCCCATCTCACACTGTTTCCCCAGGGAAATCAAGGTGATTCATAGAATTTTATGGTCAGAGCGCACCCTGCTGATTTATAATAATGCAGTCTGACCTTTGGTATACTACAGGCTACAGAGTTTCAACCAGTGACTAGTGAATGCAGTCCAAAAACTTAGATGCTTATCTCCCTCTATATTTACAAGTAAAGTTTATACTTTGCTCTGTAAGCCTGCTTAGACTTTCCACTCTGTAAGTCTGCTGAGTAGAAAATAGCTGTTATGTATATACAGACAAAAAATACTGAAATGCAAATATATGGTAGTATTGCAGCAATGATCATAAAGATAGTAAGAACAATACTGCTGGGTTTTGCATCATTGTTGTATTATGATTCCTCCTTTCCCCCCTTTGAAATATAATGTTCTTCACAAAACAATTTCCCAGTTATAATGGTGCACATTCCTTTTTCAGGATATCTTATTTTGGAAGACCTTAAATATTTGCAAAACCTCTCAGGGAAACCTAATTCTTTGTTTTTCTTTTTGAACTAATGAAATAATTTTCACTGGGGGAGGAGGGCTATTTGGGAGAGTGCTTTAATTAAGTAGTATCAGTTATTAGCCTGTGAAATCACTTAAACTCTATTAGTAGCAGTTTCCTCTTAACTCAAGCCATGAATAACTTCTTTGCTTGCCACATGTTCCCAAGGCTGGAAGGGGCCAACATTTATTCTGGAGTGTATTACAGGACATTAAATTTTACCCAGTCACTCCTATGTTGAGCCCAATAAATTTAACTTGACTAAAACATAGCTTGCGTTTAGTAAAAGTTTACCTTTTGGAAAAGCATCCAGTCTTGACTGAGATACTGAGAGGTGGAGAATTCACCAGTTCCCCTCATAGTCTAACCCAGGGGTCAGCAGCCCATGGGCCAGGTCTATCCTTTGGAGCCTTGAACACAGCTCATAGCTGTGCCTTTGGCGGTGTTCAGTAGTTAGGAGCTCTCCCTGCAGTGCGCCGCAGTCAGCTGCTGTGAGCTCCAGCCAAGGGGGAGCCCTACACTGGGCTTCTTTATAAGCACAGCTTCTATGTCTACCAAATAGTGAAGTGTCATTATTAATTGTTTTCATCCCTGTGGCAGACTGAGTAAACTGGCCAGCAGTGTTATGGAGGAATAAACTCATGCTGTGAAGGTGCCTTCCTTTTCATCCAACGACGAAATCTAATCATATGATAGGACTCTCTGTTCTCACTGACCTGGCATTTAAGGGGTCAAGTCTAGGAACTGAGCTGTTGGTTGGGTGGCTGTGAGAAAGCAGTTGTTCACTGTGTGATGAGTGTTCCTTAATGTGCACACATTATTTTACTGGACTTAAAATTCCTGTGTCGACATAATCCCTACAGCAATTTTCTTCTTTCTTTCTTCCAGGGGATACTAAATCCAATGCAAAGCTTTCTCTTCACCTTAGCTTTCTATGGCTGGACTGGATGGAAACTAGACCTGAAGTGGCGGAAAAGAGAAATTCCTTGGGAATCACTGTCCACATCAACTGTTGGTGAAAATGCCTACCCCTCACCTACCGGATCCTCTGTTAATTTTCAAAACAGCCTCCGTGACTCAAAGAAGACAACAATAGCCAGCAGCCAGCAGATTGATGAGGCCTTAAGCATGTTGTCTGAAGGTAACCTTAGCAGTGATGACAGGTTAATCAGGAACTCTCCTGTCTACCAAGGCTGGTAGTGCGTGTATATACACAGAATTGAATTTTACCTCCCCCACTGCCCAAAACTTTGATTAATGACTACACAGAGAACAGCACTGATTGGGCTTGGGCTTGGCCCAGGCCACTTCCTCGACATTTATTTTCTAGAGGTATAAATTACAGTGAATGTCTTTGATCCCTGTGTAGCAGGTCTGAGGGGAGGTGATACTGTTTGATAAATTCCTGATCATTTTCTTATGCTAGCAGGAGTGTTTCTCTGGGGCTCAGTGCTTATTTAGTAAAGTCAGTTATTTCTTTTCCTACATTTTGTTTTAACCTCTCTTGTAAACTCTCTATACAGCAGAAGATTCCTTTGTTTAATAAACAGATTGCCTTTTGTGTTGGGTTTTTCTAAATGTGGTCTGTTGCCTGGTTTGCTGAAGAGTACAGCTGTCTACCCAGAATTCTGTCTCTAGCATTTCAGGAACACAAGATTGCACCCTTAAAGCAAATATTGGTGTGACACAAACACAGAATTGCATTGTTTGCATATAGCACCTTGCAGGGGCAGTTCCAGAAGGGGTGCAGTGCTATGGCCTCACTCCCTTTTTTGACCATGCAGCAAAAGCAGCAGCTAGGGACTTTAAGTCCCCAAAGAAGGTAAACTTTCCCCTCTTCCTTCCCCTTCATGCTCAAAGGCATGTTCCCTCCCCTCCCATTTTCTCATCCCCTGCCTGCCACTTGTGCTGTTCTTGCTGTCCCAGGGTCAAGGGAAGCTTCTGCCCTACTCCACCTGGGCTATGCAGGGGCTGGGCTCAGCTTGGGACAGTGGCAGTGGCAGTAAGCAGGCAAGTTCCCCCTCCCTGCAAGGTCCTTCTGGATGTTCCTTGCCAGCCGATGGAAAGGCATGGGGAGAGACAACCCATCCACCCACTGCCACTTCCACTGTCCTAGGCTGAGTCTGGACCCCATGCAGCCTGGCTGGAGTAGGACAGGAGTTCCCCTCACCCCTGGGACAATAGGAACGGAGGAGGAGGCATGTGGGGAAGTGAAAGAGAGGAGAGGAGGGAAGGGGATGTATCTCTAATCCAGAGAGGGGGGGAAAAGGGAAATTCTTAGCTGCCTTGGGCACTTGAAAATGTGCCCAGCTGCTTCTCCTGTGGTACAATCTGTCCACCCCAGTGGTGGGGAGGGAAGGAGGCTAGGAGAAGGGAGTGCAACCAACCCTTTAGCACCAGTCACTGCTTCTGTACTTCCTTTTGCAAAATCCTGGATCCACTCTTGGAGCCTTACTTACAAACTCTTTGTTTAACCCACCTATTTTAATTTTTTACTTTTTTTAATTGAAATGTGGTTGAAATTAACAGGATAGTAGCTTTTCCAATAAAATAAAGTCTACTATTTAAATCATTAAGGGATACTGGGTCAACAATTCAAAAGCATCTAAATTTAATTAGATGCCCATGTCTCATCTAACAGCAATGACATTAAACCTGCAGTCCTTTCTCAGGGGAGTGCTCTATTTTATATCCTAGATTACTGGCTGTAAGAAACACAGTTACTACAATCTATTTTCCTAATCACTGCTATCAGCACTGTGGTGCATAAACACCTGTGCTCAAATACTTGTTAAAACAGGTTGAAGATTAGGAAGAAATTATGATCCAGCCCATACCAGGATTTAAAACACATGCAAAAACACTGGTGCTTATCTATGATTTAAACATGGTTGTGGCTCAACTAGATCACATTTTGGTTCAACAGGCTGGCATGGACAAGGTGAATGGAATGATCATCATTCTTTTAAAAATATTTAAGTCTAGAGACAAATGACTGAATCAACATTTTTAAAAAACTGTTTAAATACCATTTGGCCAAGTTCCACTGACAGCCCAAATTGTTTTATAAACCGGTTCTCACCCAGCCATGTTTAAACACGGGAAGACTGTTCCATGAGGTTGAAAGCCTGGTTAAGTTTAGAATACCAGCCTCCCTGCTTAAGAACGTTCTAGGAAGGTCAAAGAAGCAGACTCAGCAAGAGCTAAGAAAAATTGGATTTCTTATTTAAAATAAATAAATAGCCTTCTTAGCTGCTCAATAACAGGTGTTAAAAGAAAATCAAATAGTATTGAAGTTGTTGGAACTGATCCTTGAAGAGCTGCTATTGCCTGGTAGGAAACATTTCAAATTATACTCAGCATGTCTGCATTATTTTTCCTCCTGCTTTTGTTCCTAAGGATTTTTGCACATAGCAAGATCTTTAGTTTGTAGGAATCATTTTTTTCCACTCCAGAAAAAATCCTAATCTCGTTTGCAAAGCTGCAGCTAATTGTGATGCCACAAACTGAGGATAACAACTTCTAGAACAGTTTACATTCATTCTTACAAAATAAAAAATCTGTTTTTGTTGTGGTATCACTGATAATAAAAAGGACTATTACAGATAGGCAAAATAGCTATTAAAATAACTATGCTGAGATGCTATGGTGATAGGCAGCAGTACAAAACACTAAAGTAAGATAAACAAACAGATGATACCTTCAAAGGCATAGCCATGTGATATGGATACATTTGAAAGGTGACAGATTGTAGCAAGAGGCCACAGAAGAGGCCTGGCTGAGTAATTCAGTATTCCTTCTGCCACCCCAGGGAATTGCAAGTTGCTGAGCACATATGGAAGGGGGGCTATGATCATTCAATAGCCTCCTGCCCTCTTCACTCAGCAAGGACTGAGGGAGCATCCCATTTCTGAGGCTAATGCTATGGAAGGCATTGAACAGAGAGCAATGGTTATCTTCCTGGCTACCCTGTGGAAGGTCACTGCATTTTCTTCATCCACATATACTTGGCTCTAATTTAGCCTGACCTATTTTTCAAAATTGCTCTCGAAAGATGAGCGGTGATTTAACATATTGTTAGTCTGTGGAGCTGTTATCATAAAAGACAAAGGAAAAAAATCACAAAGCTTTGATGAAAACCTCTTGCTGTTTTGACAACATTTGTTTCTTTGGCAAGGCTCATTCTGATGAACTCTGTTAAGAACTTCATCTAGTGCGTGTTGGGACAAAACAACAGTGATTTTAATCTAAAAGGAAAATAATAAATATGTGCACATGTGCACGCACATGTGCGCACACACATATATGCATTTTTATAAAGATAAATAAATGTTTATTATTACAATAATAAACATTCTGGCTCTTTCCAGTTTGTGTGGTTCATGCATCTGAGGCTTGCCTCCATTGCTCAAAATAGTAGGGTTACTGTAGTCTCAGCTTATTTGAAAGCATATCAGCCTTTACTTTTACTGTGGGAAAACTGTAGCATTTGTCTTTGCTTACCACCAACTATTCAGTTCATTATATGTAAAGCATGTATAATTAAGTACAACTTACCATTAGCTTTTGCAGGTGTATATATAAAAAAAAAAAGTACATCTTTAAAGGCTATGCTTGCACTGCAGTTCAAATATATTCCTGTACTAGCTTTAAACTTGTTATTTTCATACCTAAAAGAATATAACCATGCTATCATGGAGCTCAGCCTGGACTAGGCATTCATGTTATATATATATATATATCCTTGGACAGGTCTTTGCAACCATTTGTGGACTCCTTATGCTATGGGCTAGTCTACACTGCTACTGGTACCTAAGTATTTTTAAGATATCCACATGAGCTGAAATCACATCTTTGGATTGCAGTTGTAGACGTAACCTGTGATGGAAATCTTCAGTAAGATAGGGATGTTGTAAGCTATTGAAAAGAATATGTAGATAAGATGGAATTAAACATTAACCTTTAAAGCATATGTTAGAAAGTTGGGAGGTTAGACTGGGACTCATCACAGGACAATGTTAAACTTCCTGCATTATAGGGGTTCTGAAAAGACATAATTATTTTTCCATGTATGGACTATATGTGACATTTTGCCTCTAAACTGGGGACAGGCAGCCTAGATTCCAGTGAATAGCTGTCTCTACAGTTTTTGGGCCAGTACACTGAGTTTGCTCTATGGCAGCATGAAATTTGTGATTCATAGGTAAAAATTAAATGGGAGATAGTGATTAGGAATCTAGCAGGATCTCTACATTTAAACTAATTGTGAAGTTATATTCAACTCAGTTAAGATGTTTAGGAACATGTGCATTATTCATTTTACATGATCATACTTTGGGCACATCAAAACAAAGACCAGTTGAATGAACAGCTGATGAAAGAATAAACATTGTAAACAATCCTGAACAAAACCAAAAAAAAAAGAGATGAATTTCTTCATTAAAATAAAAACATTGCGTTAATGCCATGAGTTATTTACAAAATGGTTGTGTGTGCATAGTGACACATACATACTATCGTTCCAAAGCGAATATGATATGTTCCAAAAGGCAGGAACAAGTAGAGATCAAACCATTAAACAGAACATATGCAAACAAGATAACCTTCTTTGTCTTGACCCAACATTTGGCTGTCTCACAACAAACAAATACAAACTGGGTGCATCTACATGTGCATATTAATATGCCACAAACTCCGGTGCTAATCATGCTGGAGTTTATTGCTCCCGGAGGCTATGGGGACCACAGCACATTGAAGTGGGTCAGGGAAGCCCTGGCTGACAGGACACCTGGGGGGTCAACCTGCTAGTCTGGGGCTGCTCTGACATGGCTCAACATGCTGTGGAGAGGCTAGCTAGGGCATGAAGCTACTCCAGTGTAGGGCTAGCTGGCAGGCAGCCCCTGCACTGAAGCACCCTCATGCCCATCCAGCTGGGTCAGTGTCTACATGGGTGGAGCTGCGGAGTAAAAACTTTGCCGCAGGGTAGTACTACCCTGCTGTGGAGTTTATTTTTTTACTTCAGCCTAATAGCCCTACATGTGTAGATGCTGAGATGTTTACTGTGAAGCTAATTAATCTACTCCTCGGTAACCACCTAGTATAGATGCACCCACTGTGAAGAAAACAATGTCTTCTCAGCAC